GCCTAGGGGTATTTTAAATTGGTTTTAACTAAATTTTAGTAGAAGCGGCCTATTTAAATATTTATTTTTAATTATTCTCTTAAATTTTATATTTTGTATTTGTATCAAACTGTTTTTAAACTGGCTGTAAGCCGCCCTGAGTCCTCCGGGAGAAGGGCGGGGTATAAATATAATAAATTCAAATTCAAATTCAATTCAATTCAATTGAATAAAATTAAGCCACATTCAATATAAAAGTCAAACAGGTCGGTTACTGAGGCAGTCAAAATGCCACAATTGTCCAATCAGAATAAAAAAATCTGCTATTCCTCATAACTGAAAAGTTTAAGTCTAGATTTAAAACCTAAAACTTTTTCTGCCATCATAAGAGTACGAGGGCGACAACTCTGGGACTAAATCAATCCCGAAGTTGCTGTTAGACTAACAGGAACAACAAAGTGCCAAGGAGGCTGGTTGAATAGATTTTAAGTGTATATAAAATAAGGTATATAAAAAATAGTATTGCTCTATCTGCATTTAGTTAATATAATTACTCTAAACAATAGATGGCATAAAGAATTTGGAAGCATGAGGGCTTTTGATCTGATACTTTAACAAAGATGAAAATCGATTTTAAGAACTTGATATTCTGTGATCTTCTCCAATTTTTTCTTTTCTATTCTACTATCCCGTTACTGCCACATCAGCCACACTTTCTTATTTTCAGTCAGTTATCAATACATTTAACAATACGCAGGTGCCACAGCCAATTTTACAGATGAGTGTTAATTGTCGATGTAGTAATTAGACTTTTGCTTCTGAAAATGAATGTCAAGCAAGTGCTTCAAGCTGGTCCTATTTTGCAACACACAATGCTATTATAATTAATAACAGAATTCTTGCCATTGTGCATCACAGTTTCCTTACATGCACCTCTTATGCTAGGTATTGATTTGCTTCAAACCTAATAATCTAAATATGTCCTGGGAGAAAGGACAAGTTCTTTTTCTTCTCAAGGATGTTAGCAGCACATCCTGCAAATTTCCCACTCTCGTCATCCTTTCTTGCATGCTATACTCTCTGTATTCCCCTCCTTGCCAGATAAATATGCAAATATGTTTGGGAGAGGAGGAAGCAACCTATAAGCAGGTACAATACATTCCTTATTGAACATGTGACATCGACGTGAAGCCAGAAATATAAATCCCTGGTAAGAGGAATGAATATTTCATGTCTACTAACAATTAGCAATGCTGAAGAGGTTACTGGATTTTTTTTTTTTAAAAAAGGCTTTTTTGTTCTGCAAAATCCCCAACATCTGTACTCACATTTTTATACACAATAAAGATAATTCCTTGAGGACTGTTCATGACCACAGGCTCTAAAATATGAACTATGTGGCAAGTATAATGTTTTCATTGCCAAAGAAAATATGTATCTTTAAAAGAGCTAAAATAAAATATTACCATAATTTGAACTGGGTGCTGTATATTTGGTGCTCGACTTGCGAATTATATTTTCATGGATCTGATACCATTCATTCTCATTGTTGCACCTGAAAAGTAGAGTCAATGTTATTTGCCATTGTCAATGAAATTAAATATGCACATAATTACACAGGGAAGAAATTAAACTATTTACAACTAAATGAGAAGCATTACAGAATAGAATCTTATATAACTCAGATTAAGTGAATATCTAAGATGATGCACCTTAATAAGAAAAAAATTGCTTTCACTGAAAATTTCATTATTGTATATTTGAAATCCATTAGCAGCTTCTTGATATATCTCAATGCCTGATGTTGCGTTTCTACTATGTCTATATAATCATACTAGTTAAGAAAATGGTGCTCTTTACATATCTTATATTCCTATTTGAGAATGTAAAAGGATGGTATCAGAGCTTAACATTCATGGATCATAATAAAAGTTGAAATTATGAATAAATAAAGGAATAATTACTCATTCAATTAGATGATGACATTTGAAATAAAAAATTAATACTACTGTACAAGGAACTTATACACACACACACAGACATATAGTGTGTGTGTGTGTGGGGGGGGGGGTTATATACCCGTGTTTTCCCGAAAATAAGACCTTATTTTTTTATTTGCCTCCCAAAGAGGCACCAGGTCTTATTTCCGGGGGGGGGGGTGTCTTTTCCACTCACTTTGCCACAGCGGCAGCCCCACCCAGCTGGCCCACTTCTTCTGTGGCAGAAGGAAATGTATTTTGGGGATAGGTCTTACTTTCGGGGAAACACGGTATGTTATGTTATTGCAGCATGTCTCAGTCCATAGGATAAAAGATTAGAGTTCTCAACCCTCTTGTCAATCAAATCTCTGTGGGAACAGCATTCTAGAGGGCGGTTGCTGTGACAGAAAAGGCTCTCTTTTTGAGTCCCATCAGATGGTATTCTTTTGTAAATGAAACCCAAAGTATGCCTCTTCTGCCAGACCTAATGGCAGACTAAGATCTCACTTAAGGGATAAAGCTGAAATATCCACCTCCTCTTCATCTGCCATGGTTTAAATTGTTATTTTTTCTTTCCCAGAATGTGACAACTCCTTTACACCTCGCTCCATCGCCTGCTTTGTGTGTGGTAGCACTTTTTGCAACCATCTACCTTTTAGGGAGTGCTTTATATGGCATTCTCCCTGCAGCCATGGTATGTAAAAGAAACAGGGTGCCCACATTTTCTGCTAAATTAGAGAAAAAAATGAGAAAAAATTAAATCTATAGTGCTATCTCCCGGCATTGAGGTCTGTGACTAGAAAAATCAGCCTTTTCTTTCCTCTCCTCTTTTTCAGAGATATACTAATCTTATAAAAGTGGAATACATGAAGTCCACACTTAACAACCACAAATGCCACTTGTAAATCCATCTCTAAACAATTAGGTCNTTAAATAAGGCACAAGGACTACTGTAAAATCATGCTTTTAAAGCAAAAAAAGTAAAAATTCTTTTTGGTGTTTAAGCAGTCCCAAATAAATATTTAAAGGCAATGAAGATAAACATGCAGAGTTGTTCAAATCTCAGATAGTGACTTGAAAGTACCACTCGTAAAATAACAAACAGAAACATGGGCAGAATACATGATGATTCTGGACTGTTCCTAATTTATAGAAACCATTTAATTTGGAAAATGGAAATATTAAGCAGAGATGAAATATTATTTTTAAGTATATGCCATCAAAGTAGGAAAAATTGTCCCTGGCAATATTTTCAGCTAAACTTGTTAAATATTTTCTATTATGTCCTGAAATCTGCTTGTTTCTTGGACTTTTTCCAGTTTCTTGTAGAGTTTCCTTTTATTAAAGGCTAAGGGCTCTAATCCTTAGCTTCTTGATTATTTCCCTTCTCTAAAGAACTGCCTACACTTTCCAAAAGAACAAAAACTCTTCTAGCTGGAGTGGAAGTTTTGAGAAAATCTGAGTTTTGCTATGGAAGAAAGGGTATATACATTAAAAAGCCCCTTTCTCTCATGAAGATATAATCTATTGCCAACAAACCCAGTATTAATTATGTATGCAAAGTAAAATCTCCTTGGAAATGACTTTGAAATGCAGAATTCAGTTGCCTGATGAAAACTTCAAAGCTTGCATAATCTTTTGTACCACTCTGATTCACCCCAATAAAGGAAATGGACCTATATAAACACGATTGCTTTCAATGAAAAATTATAGTATTTCATGTTGAACATGGAAGCACAGAAGCAAGTTATTTCCCAGTGGTGACAGATATTCTGATTATATGAGTACAAGCAATACAGTGCAAAAATACTTAGCAAAATGAAAAAAAATTAAAACTAGACATTCATGGTGGTAGAGTGTGGAGTGACAAAATTGGGTTGCAGTATGATAACACAAAATTATTCCCCTATATGTTTGCATGTAATACCACAACACAACTATAATAGGGTGACCTACCCAATGGAGTTTCATACAGAATTATTTTAAAATATGTAAGGTAGGTAGTTGTATTGGAATGTGAGAATGCCCTAGGGAAATGAGGGGAAAAGGTGCTGCCTAGAGAATGATCAGATAAAAGGGGAGGAGCCCACAGCTGCAAAATGAGCAGAGAAATAAACTTAGAAAGGATCCATCTAATTCAGGGGTAGTCAACCTTGGCTCTTTTATGATTCATGGACTTCAACTCCCAGAATTCCTGACCCCTGATCTAATTTATCAGGTGGTAAAAAAAGATGGGAGAACTGTACTTTAAGATTTAGAAGAATCTGTTAATGTAGCTTTACAATAAAGTAAAATTAGCTCATCTTGCATCACCTGTCTGGTCTTCTTGGGAGGCATTTTATTAGTTTATTACTGCAACTTCAATATAAAACTTTTGAGGGAAAATGAAATAATTATTGTTTTCTCTGGATGTGAATTCAGAAAAATAATGGAATTTTATAATTTTGATAGCATTATGTCTCTCCCCCTCTTTCTCTCTCTTGTCATGGTGCTAAGATTAATTACATGTTGCTGAAGACACACCACTGGTGTTATAGGAAAATATGTTATAACTTCTGTGTGGATGCATTGAAGCTTGTAGAAAATTAGGAAAGTTTTTTGGTATTTCTTTGGTTGGCATGTATGGTCTTTGGTGTTCCCCAGAAACCCTCTGCAGCAGTATTTAAAGTCTTCAAAGCAACTGTTGGACAACTGTGTAATGTCTTCACTGGAATTGGAGGAAGAGCTGGCAATGTTAGTTGGACAGTGATTGGGATGGAGCCTCTGATCAACAGTTTAGCAGCAAGAGACTCCAGATAGAAACACTGCCACTCAGCCACTGAGCAGCCTAGTAGTGATGCTGGTGCCTTTGAAGATGTTCCTCCTGATGATGATAAATGGTAGCAAACTTGTAATGACCAGTTTCCCTGGCTGTGCAAAGATGAGACTGATGGCTCTGATATGCCTGTCGTCAATGTTTCAGAGAGTTGAGGCAACTGAGCATTAGTGTCAAATATCAATAAGACCGGGAGCCGGCTGGTGATCTTGCAGGAAAACCAATCATCATCCTGCAGTTAGGCTGAGGTATATCCAGGGAGATAGCAGCCATCTTGGGTGGTACTTGTGAACATCAAAGAAGCTAGAATGTAGATTGGATTCATCATCTCTCAGTGGATTTCAGGTTTAACAGTCTCAGCTTCAGAAAGTTTGACTGGAGAACAATTCTGAACTTAAGATCTTTATCCTGACTGGACTTTGAAGTAGTTCTGTGGGGCTGAAGGGGGAAGTTATCTGGAGTATTGTTGCTTATCCTCCCTTGGATTGGAAATGGAAATTGGGTGTAAAAACCTACCCTAGTTTACTCACTAGTTTTGGTATATTTTCTTGCTTCTGCCCACCTTGATAGGAGCAGAGGAGCCAGAGCAGTGGTGTGGATGTGGCTGGATTATAGGGGTGGGGTATGGCAGCTGGTCACCTGGTCTTAGACCACTAGGTGGTAGGCAGAACCATTCAGATACTAAGACAATCAGTGGGGAGAGAAAAGGGTAGCTCTAAATGTCCGCTCTGCAGGGTGTTTCGGGGCTTTAGTCTCTCACAATTTTTACTTAACATCTACATGAAGCTTCTGGATAGATCATCTGTCAGCACTCAGTTAACTAACATCACTATGCTAACAATACTCATTTGTAAATCACCACCCTGGGTCAATCAAGTGATGCTGTCAAGATATTTTCCAGTGTTTGGAGGATCTGTGGGCCTGACTGGGGAAGAACAGGCTTCGAGTCAATGGCAAAGACTAAATGAGTTTTGGGTACCTCTGAACTGTAGGTTTTGGAAGGGGCTGCATTCTCATTCACAACAGTTTGCAGTTTGGAAGTCTTTCTGGACTCACAGCTCCTAATTGAGGAGCAGGTGGCAGCCATGCTTAGAAGAGCCTCTGCACAGCCTCTTGAGTGCCAATTGTACCTTTCACATGCTGTGGAAAATAGGGAGGATAACCTTGATGGAAATATCAAGTTACCTATGCAAAGGGGCTGTGACATTTTTAAGTTTAGAACAATGCATTTAGAAATAGCTGAAGCAAATGTTTCCCTAGTGAACTAATGTATAAGAAGGAGAAGGAGGTATATCAAAATGGAAGATTCTGTTATTATAGCTAATTCCATTTTTAACCTTCTTCTACAGTTGCTTTTAATTGTTTTTTTTAATGTTTTATGCTGTAAGCTGCCCAGAGTCATTTGAGACAAGATGGGAAGCAAATAAATTTCATACTTACTTACTTACTAAACAAACAAACAAAATTTTCTGGTCTGGTCTAACTAGTAAGATTGACATTCATGTCTTAGTCATCTCCCATTTGGACAATTGCCACATAGGGCTGCCCTTGAAGACCATTCAAAAACTGCAAATGGTTCAGAATGTAGCAGCATGGGCAGTTAGAAGTGTATCACAACATGCCCATATAATGCCCAAACTTGACATGCTGTGCTAGTTCCCTATAGGTTTCCAAGTACAATTCAAGGTTTGTTACAAAGCCCTTCTTGGCAGAGGCCCAGGTTACTTGCATGACTGCTTATCTCCAGTTATTTCTGCCCATTTGATGCTCTTTCCCAGAGCGGGCATGCTCCAGGATTCTCCTTGAGGCAATGTTATCCAAAGAGACCTATGAAGTCTGCCTTTTCTGCTGAGGTACCTCCCTTTAGGAATGTGCTTTCCTTAAGAGTTGGATAGTTCCAACCTTGTTAGTCTTCAGGAAAGTTTTTAAAATGTGGCTTTTTGTCTGGGCATTGGGCCAAGACAATAACTGCACCTGTCTTCTGTGAGATGGAATAAATGTTTGATGAGCCTTGGTATGTATTGTAAGTATGTATTGGATTTATGTGCTGCCTATTTCCTCTAGAGGCTACACTGGGTGGCTTACAACCAGAAACTCTAAAAGACAAAATAATAATAATCTTAGTTATAATAAAAATTATCATTAAAAGATTAAAAGATGGGGGAAGAAAGGAGTATGAAGATCACAGAAGGGGCTTCCCTCAATCTACTAACCACCTTCAGAGTGATACCCTCAAATCCACTGACCGAACCAGGTACTCAAGCCTTATGAGAGGTCAAGAGGGTCAGTACAGATCTCACCTCGGAGAGTATGGTGGTATGTTTCATTTTTGTTATTTTTTTTTACTTTTTAGATGATAGGGGTTGCTTGATGTACCAGTTGCATGAAGCCTTGCCCTCACGTAAATGTGTAAAAACACGAAGGGGTTTGTGTGTCAATCACCAACCTGATTTCTGAACTCCTCCATGACAATACTGCTGGGATTATGATAGCTACTTGCAATATTTTTTAAACCCTACACCACCAGACTGAAAGTTTATCTACCAGCAAATATGGAAAAGAAAAAGAACTAAAACATGTCAAGGAGGCCCTAAGAACTTGTGATTATCCCAACTGGGCCTTCATCAAATCCAGAGAAAAACCCAGCCGGAGTTCTTCCGTAACAAAGAAAAGAACAACGAATGAAGCAACATTGTCATTCCATACATTGCAGGAATATCGGAAAAGGTCAGGAAGATTTTCAACCAATACAATATACATCTACACTTTAAACCCAAAAATACACTATGGCAGAAGCTTATCCACCCCAAGGATAAAACACTCAGACATAAACTGAACAATTTGATTTATGCAATACAATATAGTGAGACATATATAGATCTGCACATTGGAGAAACAAAAAATGACTTCACCAACACATGGCCCAACATAGGAGAACAAACCCATCAGGACAAGATTCAGTAGTCCATCTGCATTTAAAAGACAAAGGCACTTTTTTGAAGACAGCAAAATCCACATTCTGGACAGAGAGGACCGCTGGTTTGAAAGAGGGGTCAAAGAGGCCATCTACATTAAAATTGAAAAGCTCCCTGTCAACAGAGAGGGAGGGATACAACACCACCTATCTTCTGTCTACAACACAGTCCTTTTAGCAGTCCCAAGAAAGTTCCACACCTATTTGCATTACTCAGGTGACCCTGATGGCACAAATAAAACTCCAAGCGGCCTCAACAACTCTTAGAAAGAGTGCTTAACGACCAGATGACTGCAAGGAATATAAATCCTTCCATTTTCCACCATTCATTCAGAACTGAAAAAGCTTCTTGGATGAGAAGCAAAATGTTTTCAAGCAAAAACAAAGAAAGTCCAATTGATTTTTTGAAATAGCACTTTTGGGAGTAGATTGGTTAAAAACTCCATGATTAATTTTGACTCATCACTAGGAAAATTATATCCAATAATGGAGAATATTTGTAGGTCAGAGTTGAAATGAGGGGTCCTTGGTGCTCTTTGAACTTGGTTGTTTTCTTGCAGACATTTCATTACCCAAACTAGGTAACATCATCAGTATTAGTCAACGATTGAATAAGAGATAACATGCAATTATTTTATTTTATTTTTACAACTGAGAATGGGTCCCCCCCCACATCTTATAAGGATTGGTGGAGACCAGGTGGTAATATGGTAATGTTTCACAAGGATAGGTCTAAACAGTTGTATATATGCCTGCTGACTTTTGACAGCTCAGTCTGGAAATGTCCTTAGAGGATTCAAGAAAAATATAGCTGTTTAAATGTAGTGGAGATACAATGAGTCTATTTTAATCATTAATTAAACAATTGAACAATAGATAACGGTCACTTTAAACGTTGTCCCTTTGCCACTTAAATCCAGTGAGATGATTTGGAGGGCCTTGGGAACTTCTAAAAATGGTTCTTGGAGCTTGTATATGACTTAGAAGCAGTTCATCTCTATCTGCCACCATAAGTGATTTCTTAATTTGCCTGCAAATTATTTGCTGTTTCATGCTGCTCTTCTGAAAAAAAAGTGAATCATTGCCTTGATAATAATTGTACATTTTATCTTGGATTGCACAATCCCAGAAAAAAAATGGGTTCTAGTTAAGGAGGCACCAGAGGCATACCCATACCCACTCCAAAGCATCTTGCTGCAGTCTTATCACTGACTAGCTAAACCAAACCTAAATTTTCCTGTAGTAGTGTGGCTACCAAATAATTTCAGTTAAAGTTGTAGCCTCTTTAAGAAGATGCTAATGGGCGTAGAATATACACCTCTCCAAAGCAACTTCCAACTTTAGTTCTGAAGTGTTGCAGGCAGATATGATAGTCACATATTGGCTTGTCATAGATGATAATACATTTTAATTGTTTAATTAATATTTTTAAATAACACATCCTAAATTATATTTTACATATCAGAAAAATATTAGACTTGAGATTAACAGATTATGGCATTTCTGTTTATTTATTTACTTATTTATTAAACCAATTTATACAGCTACTCATCACACTAACAGTGACTCTGGGCAGAGTATAACAGAGTTAAAAACAACTAAATGCTTCAACTAAATAAACTTACGTGTAAACTTTGAGAACAAAATCCTTTTCTTCTTTGAGTTCAGAAATTGATGGAATTACATCCAAGACACTCAATACAGCACAGCCATATGGACGCCGGTAATACAGGTGAGATGGACCCTTTCTTGAGTCATTTAGCAACATACGTCCTAAAACAAGCAGAAGAAAAGCTCTTCTGAATCAGGCTAAGACCTTTATAGTCCAGTATTTTGTTTCTTACAACTAGATGCTTCCTCTTCCAGCAAGTTCCCTATAAGTTGTTTGAGAGGCATGCTGCCCACAACTCTTGAGGCCGATAGCCATCTCATGAATTTATCCAGTGCATTTTAAAATAATTCATATTAGTTGCCATCAATTTATCTTTTACATTAAATTCCACAAATTAATTATTTTTAATTTTTTTCTCAATCTGTTTCAATCAGTTTCACTGGATTAATGTGGGTTCTAGTGTTTCAAGAAAAGGAGAATAGTGTCATAAACTTTTTTTCCAGGTCATGGGTGATTCAATCATATCTTCCTCAGGAGCCTTTCTTTCTGTGCTAAGAAAAAGGTTCTAGCCAAAATATATTAGTGGAAGCAGATAAAAATTTGACAGTTTTATTTTTAATCTCTTTCCTGACAATCTCTAATATGACATTTGCCTTTTTCCCAGTTGCTGCACATTGAATTGTGACTTTATTGAGCTATTTGCTAAGATCCCAAGATCACCTTCCTTATTAGTTTTGGGTGAAATAGCTCAAACTACATAAATCTATCTGTGAAATGGGATGTGAGTGACCCAATGTGTATCACTTTACACTTGTTTCAATTGAACTGTACTTGCCTTTCATTTACCATTTTACCGTACTGCAAAAAAAAACCTTTCTAGAGCTGTTTACCATAAATTTTAGATTTCATTACCCTGCCAACTTACTGCTTATTCCAAGATAACTTGACCATAAACCATAAAAACACTGATCTCAGCACAGATCTTTAAGGAATTACACTTTCATCTTCTAAGAAAATTGACCATTTTATCCTAAACCTTACCTTTTGTTTTTTAGCCAATTATAAATGATAAAGAGTGTATCTTCATACATCATGATCACTAAGTTTACTTGAAAAACTATTGATGAAGAATTCTCTAAAGGCTTTTTTGAAAAATCAGTTGGCAGAAACATTTTTGTCCACTTTAAAAAATTATAGATTGTTGTGGAAGAATTTATATTTGCAGAATTTATGTTTATTTATTTTTCAGTAAACTTTCTTCATTATTTACTTAGCAATTTTTTCTTTAAATAGTATTTCTACAACTTTCCTAGGATTGATCTTGCAAAACTATAATTTTTAATATCTCCCCTGGAATCCTTTTTAAAACTGGTATCACACTGGCTACTTTACAGTCCTCTAGCACTAAACTGAATTTGAGGGATAAGTTATATATTCTTGCAGGGAAATCAGCAATTTTACCTCTGATAGTTCAAGTCATCAAGACCCAAGAATTCTTTATATTTTACTTTCTCAAAATGTCCTAGATTGTTTTCTCAAATTGCTTAATTTGCTCTGATAAACTAAATACAGGCTCACAGATCTGTCTTTTATCTTCTACAATAAAGAAAGTAGCAGAGAATTTATTCAGTTTCTCTGCAATCTCCATATCCTTACGGGTGCCCCTTTCACTTATCTTTTGTCTAATGAAGGGTTCTTTAGGTTGCAGAACCTGTCAGTAAAAATAAAAAAAAAACCCATAACTCCTGATCATGAGGCAAAACTTTAATGATAGAATATAAGCAGAAATACAAAACTTGTCCTTGTTTTAATTTATGCAAATTCTATATTAAAGTTATTTAAATTTCACAAAAATGGATGTACTAATTACTGTACCATTTATGAATTAACATGAAATTGCATCATTTTTTCCATTATGAATGGCTGGCTGAAGCCACATAAGCAGTCATCTTCTTTCTGCCTGCCTGCTTGCTTTTGCATTCAATCTCCTAGCTACCCATTATTTTCAATTTGATTTACACAAAACATATTTTTGAGTAGAAAGCTGCCATAAGATTCAAGCTACTGGAAATTAAAATGCAGTGCACAAGATAATTCTCATGTGTTGTTTTACTCTAGAAGAGTCCTATTCTAAAGGAATTTGAGGCTGCATCCAAGCTGCGCTTATAGTTGTAATCTTTTCAAAATCATCCTGTCTCTTTTCACTGTATTTGGGACAAAGTAATAACCAAGCAAAAATCAAGAAAAGAAAGTCCAACATCTTTGACAGAGATAAGGAGAAAAGACATAGCCATTAATCTGGTGCTATTAAGCAAATTAAAACTTTCTGCTGGATTTCAAGCTCTCTTTGTTCACAAACTCTGTCAACCGCAATGGTCCCTTTTAATATCCTGGCTATCCTTTCGAAAATAAGGACAGCTAATTAGAAAATGTTTTTTAGACTCTGGGAGCAGGCAAAAAGTCAGATAAAATGTGCATGCAGATGAAGAAAAAACTAGTTCTGGGGAAAAGGCAGTCACCCATCTCTTATTCAAACTCCTTGCAGAGGAAAAGGGAGAGCAATGTAATCCAGTGGGGTTTTTTTTAATGATCTTATGATCCCCATCAAATTCTTGTGGCTCTAATGGCCTAACAATTTCGAGAGAAGTTTTTTTTTCTATTCAGGAGCAAAAATATTTAAATACTGAAATTAAAATGAGATATTTGCGCCATTAAATATTGCAGCTCAGTCCCTGGTTAAATATTTGCTCACAAATGTTTTTGGCAACATGATGTTTTTTTCAGTCTTCAACTCAAACCTGAAAACTACGGTAGTAGGCCTGCTTTTGGTAATTACACTGAAGGTGCAGCTGCTTTATTTCCAAGACACCTTTTCCAAGTCTTTTTCAAAGCAGCGCAACTCTAAATAGCAGAGACTGAAATAAATCAAAATAAGTCAAACATAATTCAGATAGGCGCTGCCAGAAGTATGTTATTATCCTTTCTAACAGATTGATTTATAATATAAAATATAATATAAAAATATAATATAAAAATAACACATGCAATATGTTGGAATAGATATACAATTAATGTTTATTCCATTAAAACATTTAGCGAGTATGCTTATAATTGAGAAGTCTTTAACAATTAGTATTAAAACGTAAGTGATCTTCTGTTACTGTCTCCAGCAGACAGAGAAACTATCACAACTTATACATCAGATCATGTCATATATTAATTCTGTTGTTTAAATAAAAATGTAAATGTTTTTAATAAGGAATACTGTACCTATTCGGATTACATGGGCAACTATGTACAAATCTTTCTTCATATCTTTGCTGCCAAGGTCCTTATAAATAGGAAAGATGCAAAAGAAAAAATAAATTAGCAACATTTCTAAGTTATATTTACATTTCAGAAAAGCAGCCTCTATGTTTCTTACAAAGTCCACAAAAAAATATGAAAGACTAGGGAGAAAGGAAAGAAAAATGAAAATAAAAACACAGAAATTTATAAATGTTATCTCATTGTTCTAAACTTAAACAATTTCTGGAAACTGAAGTTTTTCACTGATTTCTCTTTTAAAATAACATGAAACTCTACACATAATCATTTGTATTAGAACTAAATAGTCAGTCTTAGTTTTCTAAATATAAAATAACATTTCTTCTTCTAAAAATAGTAAAGAACATTATCATTAGTTTTAATATTTTATTAAATACATTTATTTTTCTTCCAGAACATCTAAAGGATAGCCCCTATACCTATCTGCTTTCAATCTACATATTTTCATACACTTTGAACATATTGCTTATATATTATTTATCAAATTTATATGCTACCCATCTTACTTTGCAAAGCTATTATTTGGACATATAGCTAAAAGACAGCATAAACAATTAAACTACAATGAAAGTATAAATTATAAAACTCATAATCACAAATATTTTAGAAAGGAAGTCTGGACTTCCAGGGAAGAAATAGCAAACTGAAGATTGCGCTACTTAAAGTGGAACCAATGACTGGGACAGAATGAAGACTCTAATTACTCTCCAGACAAGAGGACCTGAGATCGTCTATGAGTGCTCCACACAGTTGCTCCTCACAACAAGACCACAAAACAGAAGCTGGCATGACGCTGGCTCATATTTCGTTTAAGTATTTAAAACAATAATGTTCTACAAAATTTGTGGTATTATAAATTTAGAAATGTTAATCATTCGCAAATGACCATGTGAAGAACAGGTTGTCCTCAACTTATGATTATAATGGATGTTTGAATTTCAATTGTAAGTAATGATGGTTGTAAGTCGAGGCACCTACGTAACTGATCCAATTTTACAATCTTTTTTGCAGCAGTCGTAAAGCAAACCTGATAGTTGTTGAGTCAATGCATTCCTGTGGATGTTTTTTGCCAGTAATTGGCCTTTTCAGCTAGTTTTTGGTAAAAAAAAAGTTGTAAACTGCATCACCTGATCACAGAATGCTGCAACCAGTCATAAGGTAAGCGGTTGCAAAGTGCCTGAAATGCTGTCATGTGACTGTGGGGAGTGCTGCCATCAGAACTCTTGAACCAGGTAATAAGTACCTTTTGAGGAGTGCGTCATAACTTTTAATGGTCGCTAAATGAGGACTATCTATATTTCTTTTTAACTGTCTTCTTCACAAATCAGCACAGAAAATCTATTACAATAGAACTTAGGTTTTTAGAATTATTATTTACCACTCTCACCCAAGCTTTCATTAAAGATTGTTGGTCCTTGTGATGAATAAGACTCACTTACAAAAAATAATTTCAAATTCAGCTATCACATGAGTCTGTGATCTTGCTTGGTTACTCTATAAACTGAGGTAAATCAGACTGGATATTAATGAGCATAGGAGATCCTCAGTAATCCTGAGACTTCAGAATTGCTAACTTACCTAGGATGCCCATCCTAGGTAAGTTAGCAATTCTGAAGTCTCAGGATTACTACTAATCCCTCTACCACCACCTACTATTAAACATATTATCAAACACCTGCATCAAATTAGAAGCTTCTTGAAGTTCAGTTTCAAACCAAACTACAATTAGGAACATTGTTCTTTTATCTTCTATGTGATAAAAATGGAAACGTATGAATTAATTTGTAAATTCAGCATGAATCAAATTTTGTTTGTATCTGAAACTAATCTTGGCTGAAAAGGTAAAGGAAAGGAAAAGTCTCACTTGACAATACAGACCATAAAGCAATACATACTGTGAAAAGTGTACACATCCGATCAATCTTCTCTGGATTCTTGGCACCCCCATTCTTGTTCAACCTTACCAGAAATCTTTCACTGAAAGGCAACAAGGATTTGTCTATCATTAATACTTTATTTTATTCTAGTCTAGTCAGAATTAAATCTATATTTTCAAAAAAGGTTATCTTGATGAAGGGTTACAACTGACCTCTCACTGCACCCAACCAATATACTAGAGATCTCTCTCCTTGGCAGTTCTGAAGAGCCTATATAAAAAAAGTCCCTTATGAGCTGAGACTGTGCCCCTGTGGATAAGGGGCCAATGAAACCATAGCTCAGTGATGGCAAACCTTTTATAGACCGAGTGCCCAAACTGCAACCCAAAATCACTTATGCATCGTCGAGTGCCGGGTGAGTGTGGCCCATTGGGTGGGCATGGCTGCAGTGGTAACAGCAGACTGGGTGGGACTAAAAAGTTCAACCAATCAATTCCAACTTTGCAAGATATTTTTTTTTCCCGCGAGAAGTTGAAATTGACTGATAGAACCTTTTTTTTTTTGCACACGGCGGCAGAGGCCTAAAGCAAAAAGGTTTATAAAACCCAGCTGAAGGCATAGGACTGGGGCGACAGCGTGCGTGCCCACAGAGAGGGCTCTGCATGCCACCTGTGGCACGCATGCCATAGGTTCGCCACCACTGCCATAGCTCATGCCCTGTTATATTATTCCTTTTATAAGTATTCACAGACTCATTTTATAACTCCTTTCCTGGTAAAATATCCTAGAAATTCTGAACTCTTTTATGTACAACTTTTACTGTTGCATCAGTATGATACAGTTTCTTTGAAAGTACAGTAGTTAAAGTCTGCTGTACTGTCTATTAAATTAGGCAGACTTTGGTTGCCCATCAATAATCTCACCATTAACTGTAATATAATGTTATAACAGAATAGCAGAATTTCAGGCCGGGGCACAGCACGGAAACGGCATTGGTCGCGTTGGTCAATGATCTCTGGAGGGCCCGGGACAGAGGGTATTCCTCTGTCCTTGTTCTTTTGGACCTCTCAGCGGCTTTTGATACCGTAGACCACGGTATCATGCTGCGGCGTCTCGGTGAGTTAGGAGTGGGAGGCACCGTTATGCGGTGGTTCTCCTCCNNTGGTGAGGTACTGGCAGACGGCATACTTCTCCATGGCGTGGCCTCATCGTATCCACCTAATTTGAAAAAAAGAAATGAAAAGAGCTTTATTTTCTGTACACGTATTCAATAGTTATGCAATTATTTATGGAACAAGTGACTTTTTATTCCTTCTTTTAGAAACTTTAGGTTTTCCATTTAATAACATACCCATTATAAACATTCATCATGTGCACTAATTTTTAGTTGTAACAATTTGGAGATCGAGCAATGCCACCAAAATATATTTGGATGTTTGATGGAAAAAAAATGAGGATACATACCTGGTATTATTACTAAAACTACATTACAATATTTACTATCAAAGTAGGTTACATAAAGTTCAGTATTAAACATATTAATCTGGAATGTGGAAAATCTAGATACAAAAGTAGTCTTTCATTATTAAATGAAACTTATTATCCCCAGCATTTCTCTGCACTGGCTATGTTGGATGGGTTTCTATGTGTTGTGGTTCAACAACATCTGGAGGTAAACCCATTCCCCCATCTCTTTTTAAAATTATTATTTTATCTATTGCACGAGAGAGGGTTGTTTTGTGAATAACTATGAACAATATGTGAGGGTACGTACTGTAACAATCTCAAATCAACAAACCCTTATAATAAAATATCAGCAATTTTATATATTTTCTTCCTTTTATAAGTTCTTTATTAACACTTGAGGTTTCCTTAAAAAAATTCCAATTGTTTGCTCTACATTAAATTTCACAACCACATGTAAGATTCCATGTGAGCAAATTGCTTAATAAAGCAGGGGTTTTGGTCCTTATTAAGTTACTGCAGCCCAGCACTATCTTAACCATTTCCTGAATTGTGGAATGCAGTTGAAAAGAAAATGAGATAGTACCTATGTTGATAAGAATAGGTGAGTTATTTAAACATAAATAACATTTAGCTATATATAGCTGCAAGTAACCTATACATAATGATGAAATGTTTTGCAAGTATATTCAGTTACGTTGGTTTATATCCATCCAGCTGACATCCATAAGTATGAGGACCAGACAGAGACAATGGGTACTATTCTTCCTTCCTTTAAACTCTTTTTTCATCTCATTGATCAAAGACTTGTTGGCTCCATTTTTGATGAAGTTTACAGTGATGTTATTGTCTCTACTTAAGTAGACAATTATCAGATTTAAATACTTGTACACAAGTGGGAAGGTAGGGTAAGAAAAAAAATTGAGGAAGCTCATGGAAATCATTAGTAACACAGTCTTTCTTTTGAAGTTATCTCAGCAGCAACACAGATGCTGCCACTAATGTTTCAGATCTTTTCCATATCTTGAAATTCAGCTGTATTGTGCTAAATACATTCTATATAGTTTGTAATGTAAGAGAGAAAATACATACAACCCAAACATTTCATGGACACAGACCTGTGTACAGTATGAATATCACATTCTATACCATTTTCAAATTAATGCAAGCAGTTCTAAACAAAGATCAAGATTAAAGTTGCTGCAGAAGAAAATAAATTAGTTTCTGTACACTGGCACTGTCAAACAAAACCTTTTAATACCATTACATGTATTACTATTCATGTGATATTTAGGAAAGTGATGATGCTTTTATAATTCAACTTACCTGTGATATGCTTTGTTGCACACTGTGCCTACTGGATAAATGCTGTAAAGATGACAGGAAAAGTGTTATTTTTCTCAATACACTGCTTTCGTTCTTTACTTAATTAAGCAGAATTAGTTTTACTCTTTAATATGTAATTAATTTGTTTGAACAGATTCAGTCAGTTAGCTATAATGATTAAGCCAGTTTCCCAAAAGTATGGGGGAGGGGGGGATGGAATTGCATAATAATGACACAGAAGTCATTACCCAATCATAACACGAACATTTAAGTTGACTATTGGGCAAAAAGGACTTTCTGGGAAAATGCAATTGTCAAAAATACATGCCACTTGCAAAGAACCTGAATTTTGGATTGCAGTGATCATCAGTGTAAAGACCAGTTTGTTTTTCAATGCTGACATGACTTTGAACAGTTATTAAATAAATGGCCAAAAGTAGAAGACTACCTGTACCCAAAGCTGCTTATCAGAAAGCCCATCTAAGACTGTTGGAAATTTAATAATTCAAGTCCTAACAAAGGGCCTAAATATTATTAAGATAGCATTATTAAGGTATTAAGTTTTTCTCAATCCTAGCCTCACCCAGTATAACAACATCAATTAAATAGATTTTCTTCTTTTTGATAACTGTTATATCAGGCAAGTTAAGAATAAAATGTCTATCTATTTGGATCTTAAAGTCCCATAAGATCTTAACACATTCATTTTCCAAAACCTTCTCAATTTCATGGTCCCAGTAGTTTTTACTACATTCAATCCCAATCTCTAGCAAAATTTCCAATGAATAATTCTGGAAACTCAGTTATGATGTGACTTGTAGTCAGTTTGTGAAATTTTGCTGCACCCACAGATCAAATTGTCAATTGTTTCACCTTTTTTCACTATAAAGGCAACATTTGCTGTGGTTTGTTCCATATTGAATTTTTGTCTTCATACAATTAGCTGGCCAAAATTGTATTTATTGTTCCTATAAATTGTATTTATTGTTCCTATTATTGTTATAACAACTCAAAACTGCAAACATACTTGAGCTGCTAAAATAAAGCTTTCAGTTTCTTTAACACTTCTGATTTTAATTAGGTCCATGTGGGATTTTTATACTTTTCCTCTCTATATCCTTCAAATATTGATTATGCATTGGCTTGCTTTTTCAATTAACAAATTGGTTTTCAATTATTTTTTATCTACAGTTTTGTTGTTTTAAAGAGCTTTTCATGACTGATTCCTTGATCAAGGTTCTTTTCTTAACAGTCATTCACACCATGTTTTTTTTCCTTCACAGTTTATTTCACTAAGGATAAGGCTATTACCTTATCAAATCTTCATTATTAAGCTGTATTCTGTCATTCAACAATTCTGTCTATCTTTATTAATATGGTTACACACATCAATGTCAAATTTCATTACAATATCTTTACTGAATTCTTTTGTGCTTGTTAATAAGGAATCTAGTACAGCCTTTGTTTTTTCAAATAACTTTAAATCATTCATATAAAGTAAACACAAACTTTTTACTTGTTTTATGTCAATTTATGTGTACAGTTTGTCTTGTTCAGAACTGTTGTTAGTGGTGCCACTCATAGTATAAAGCAGTGTTTCTCAATCTTAGTAATTTCAACATGTGTGGACTTCAACTGCCAGAATTTCCCAACCAGCATGCTGGGAAAGACTAAGGTGATAATGAGTCACCTTGGAAAATTAAAATATTTATTTATTATTCTTTTAATCCTGATCATTATAGTTTAAACAAATGTATTTGTTGCAAGCTCCTTTGAATATGAGATACAGAAAAATCTTAAATAGGATGCTAGGTTTTCCTACTGTAATTTTATCCTCAAAACAATCCTTTAAATTAATCCGAGAGATTGCTTGGCCAAAATCACCCTTTTGAATGGGGATTTGAATCTGAATCTTTCCAGTCCTAAATATACCATACTTGTCACAGTTGCATAAATAATTTTTGGTTACACAAAATGTTCTTAAACATATCCTTCTTCTCCATAAACAGTCTTACCATTTTGTATAGATCAGACACACTGATCTGATCAGAATCCACAATCTCAAAGTCCTTCCGTGGGACAAGATCCAAGCCCAAATGCCTATGAAGAAACAAGCCAACAAACCCAGAATCAATTTTTAAAAAATATCTCCAAGATGCATATTTGATCCTTTAAATGGATTCAGATTTGAGAAGAATAGCTTTCATTCATTTCAGCAATTTACTGTAAATTAAAGCATAGCAAAGATGCTTCCCATTTTTCTATTCTTTGTTTAAAATACAGTACATTCTAATAAAAGAGATCAATTGCTCTATTTCATAATTAACACAATAATGGGGAAATGTCACTTGGATTAGAGAACCCTGAGCTTAAATTTCTATTAAACTCTCCCCCTGTAACTAGTTGTTGGTTTATTTTTGATGTCTTCAAGTCAGTCTTGATTCCTGACAATTACATGGACAAGTCCATACAGTTTTCTGTATGGCAGTATTTTCTAAATTGGTTTGCCATCACCTTTCACTATGGCTTAGAGAGAATCACTGGCCCAAGGACAAGAAGCAATGGATAGAAACTAATCAAGGAGAGAAGCAACCTAGAACTAAGGAGAAACTTCCTGACAGTTAGAACAATTAACCAGTGGAACAACCTGCCTCCAGAAGCGGTGAATGCTCCAACACTGGAAGATTTTAAGAAGAGACTGGACAGCCATTTGTCTGAAATGCTATAGGGTTTCCTGCCTGAGCAGGGGGTTGGATTAGATGACCTCCAAGGTCCCTTCCAACTTTATTATCATTATCATTATTATTGTTGTTGTAGCTTATGTGACTTCTTAGGCCTGCGACAAAATTAGAAATTAGAACTCAGTCTCTTGGCTTGCAGCACTTTATCCTCTACATCAATCTGGCTTTCTATTTACTTTATTAAAAGTACGTATAGCAATGCACCCTTCATAGTATAATTATGCTATATCCTATCAATTATTATGCTTGTAGTGTTTATTTATCCTACTATACATATGGGAATCTGTACTTAACATCATATTGTTAAGGTTAGGATTATTTAGTAGTTGGCTGTTATCACTACCCAATGATAACTTTTATCAAAAACATCACAGCAAGTATAATAGTTCAACCTTTACTATGAGGTGTTACAGAAAAAAGGTTTGATTTTTTATAAGTCTCTATGCAGGCACATGTATGAAGTACTAGCAAGTCCATTAACTATTTTGATTTGCACTGCACCTTCGTACACATATAGCACTGATAATAAAGAGACAGAATACTTCAAACATGGCACTGCACAAGCTTGAAAGTCCAAAGCATAACTATCTAATGAATGCTGAAGACTTTATCAACACTACAATATGCGACACTACACAGATTTTGGACTGACCAGAGTCATTTTGGGAGGAGCAGGATTAAAATCTAACCAATCAAACAAACAAACAAATGCAATGCAGCAGTACTCGGAAGTTGAGCTGAAGCAACAATATCAGAATATCTACAGCCCAATGGTGGTCATTCAAAACTATTCTGGAAAATTGATTATTTAAAAAGTATGTATGGTAAAACAAGAGATGGGGCAAGAACGAGTGGCTGCTGAATGACCATAACTAAAATGAGTGATAAATATGAAAGAAGTGCAAATAGTCCTTGACTTACACCCACAACTTGGACTGGCATGTCCATTGCTAAGTGATGAGGTCATTAAGTGAGCCATGTCCAATTTTACAACTTTTTTGCCATGGTTGTTAAGCAAATTATGCAGTTACTGTATATTAAGTGAATCCAGGTTCCCCCATTGATTTTGTTTGTCAGAAGCCCCCTGAGAAGATCTCAAATGGTGATCCTGTGACCCAGGATTGTAAATACCAAATTTTGATCATATGACTCCAAGGATATCGTGCTTTCAGAGTCTGACTCAGTCGCTATGTAGACTTCTCTAGCACTTACTGGTGCCCCCAGCAATTCCTTCTGGGATCTCTACATCTTGCTGAAGTGTACAACTCACGAGCAAGCAACAAGAAGCAGAGCTCACTGCCACTGTTTGACCACAGCTATGCATATTCTGCAGAGTATTTACATTTCCATAGGAACAATGGAAACTACAGAAGCAACTACAGCATCTGGCTTGCCTATCTTGACACTTGGAATCTAGTTATTTACAATCCTGGCTTGTTGATTAACTATGACCTCTTCTCTCCCTTGATTTGGTGTGGTAAATCTTTGGACTCCCATACTTGGAAATTCACCTTGCTCAGCTAGACCTTATCTATAGTTAACTGTTGTTTCTTGCTGTTCTGTTGTTGAGATTTGAAGAAGCAATTTTTCCCTTTAATATTCTGGAAGTCTTGGATCTATGTCTGGCTTCCAAAAAAGTGCTAAAAAAAGTGAGGATATGAAACATCACAGCTAAACCAAATGGGAGACACAACTAGATGAGCTAATTGTGCTTTATTATAAAACTACATTAATAGAATCTTTCAAGTCTGAAGGTGCAATCTTCCTGCTGCTATGTTTAACTCCTTAATCAATTAGGGTGAGTCCTTCCCAAGTTTCTTTCTCTGTCCACTAGTTTTAAGAGAGCTCCTGCCTCTCTTATCTGACTGTTTTCTAGGCAGCATCTTTTCCCACAAATTCCATTACAACTATGATGGTCATAAATATGAGGACTAATCATAAGTCATTTTTTTCAGTGTCAGCGTAACTTTGAACAGTTGTTAAACAAACGGTCATAAATCAAGGACTATCTGTATATAGTTTGGTCATATAAAGAATATGAATGAGGCCTGAATCACCAAACTAATATAGTGAGAGATAATAAAGATACTGAGAGAAATGGGAAGTCGGAAAAATTAACAGATGAATGAGTTGGATCCTGAAAAAGTGAGAAGTTTAAAGAGCAAAAGGTATGATGTATAGAGATGGAGGAGCCAAGAATGAGAAAAGAAAGCATGGAGATATATTTTGAATGATTTCAGTGTAAACGTGATTTACTAAGAATTTTTTTCTATTCTCTTAACTTCTGTCTTTTTTTTTGTTCACTTCTTCTCATTATTTTTCTGTGCTTTGAATAATACTGTTTATCCCAAAAGAGCGTAATATGACAATATGTGGGCTATGTATGAAGCTTCTGACTATTTTCAAATTCTGTTATTTCACCATTACATTTATTTAAACAAAACTAGAACCGTACTTACTCATTTCCCCAGTCCAATCGTACAGTGAGATGTCTCTTGACTTCTCGAACTTGATCCTGGGTCAAATGACCAGAAAGTAATTGTCTGCGAAGATCAATCACTTCATTCATCACATGGCGTAGCTTGTAGAACAGATCTATCTTATGTTTCTGTGAACATTTTATTTTTTCAAAAGCAGAAAGGGAGAAAAAAAGATTGAGAACCCTGAAAATTTCTTGACAAAACCAGGAATGGCACAATTTACATTTTAAACTTCAGAATGCATATTTGAAAACATAGGTAATTCTCATTTATCAACCACAACTGAGACTTGCAACTCAGTTATTAAGCACAGTAGTAGTAAATAAAACTACAACTGTGCTTATGATATTACTTTAGCTTTCCTTTGCTTTACAGCTCTGTGAAGGTCATTAAGGCATTAAGGTCATTAAGGCCTCTAGTTTAACGAAGAGAAGGACGAGGGGGGACATGATAGCAGTGTTCCAATATCTCAGGGGCTGCCACAAAGAAGAGGGAGTCAAGCTATTCTCCAAGGCGCCTGAAGGCAGGACGAGAAGCAACGGATGGAAACTGATCAAGGAGAGAAGCAACTTAGAACTAAGGAGAAACTTCCTGACAGTTAGAACAATTAACCAATGGAACAACCTGCCTCCAGAAGTGGTGAATGCTCCAACACTGGAAGTTTTTAAGATGAGACTGGACAGCCATTTGTCTGAAATGGTGTAGGGTTCCTGCCTGAGCAGGGAGTTGGACTCGATGACCTCCAAGGTCCCTTTCAACTTTTTTATTATTATTATTATTATTATTATTATTATTATTATTATTATTATTATTAGGCAATGATTGGTCAATGTTATCTTTCTATCACCATTGTAACTACAGACACTGTTGCTCCACAAGGAATGCTTGTAGAATACATATGTATTGTGAAATAATTATTTTCAGAAGTATGGCAGCACTTCAAACCCAATTTCAATGAAGCACTGACTGCAGAGGCAGATGAATATAACTTTATTTACTGAGCAGAGCTGTTCGCATTACATTCTACTCCCCAAAAAGAACTGCAGTTGCAAAGTGTCATTTAGCAATAGCAATCCCAGCAGTGCCGGTTGCCTTCATAACCCTGGGACCATGCAGGTCGATAAGTGAGGACCTCATATGACTGTGACATGAGAAGTGCCGGGATTGCAGTCATTGAGTGAAGCAGTCAAGTGGCCTTCTCTCTTTAACAACTATTTCACTCAAAGACCAAGATTCCATTCCCAATTATAGTCATAAGTCGAGGACTATCTGCATAGGACTATCTATAAGTAAGATTTATCACAATGGGCTATGAAGAATAAGTGCCATTGGTTAGGAAGGGTATACATCACTAATGTTATCTTGGAGAAGGGGACTACATTCCACCACAATCAGATTGCTAACACCTTTTTTTAAAGTACAGCCAAAAATATAACAGTGCTAATAAATCAAAAAAACAATATACATGAATGCCATTTATAGAAACTAAAATATGTATCTGTAAGGTCTTAATATAGAACTAGTTCAATACTTTAACATACAGTCTGCCTTCATTTAGTGATCACAATCTGTTCCAGCAATATGGTTGGTGGGATGATACAAAATGGTTACATAGCAAATTGCTGCAAAGACCACTGGTTGCTGCCATCTCATTTAGATAAAGCATTACTCTCATTCTGGCATGGATATTTGTTAGTTGTAGAAATTTGGCCACAAGTGCATGCATTGGTCAGAAAATGATTATATTACTGTTTTATCATCATCATCATCATCATCATCATCATCATCATCATCATCATCATCATCATCATTTTAGCCATTGTCTATCCACTGCAGGATGAAAACCTCTTCCACCTGTTTCCAACCAATACGGTCCTGAACTTTCTTTTGCTAATTGGGCCTGCAATACTTGCTGATGTCGTCGATCCATCTTGTTTTAGGCCTCTTTCATGGATGCTTTTTATCAAGTGGGACCCATTCTATGACTGCCTTGGTCCACCTGCCATCGGTTCTTCTTGCTATGTGACCAGCCCATTTTCATTTCAATTCCTTTACTCTCTTGATGATATTGTATACATTTGTTTGTTCTCTAATCCATGTGCAGGTCTTTCCATCTTGTCTTGTCATGCCGAGCATGTATCTTTCCATGGCTCTTTGCGCCACTCGTAGCTTTTGTACCGATTGCGAGGTTATGGTCTATGTTTCACTGGCATGTTAGAGCAGGCAGCACACACTGATTGAAAACTTTTCTCTTCAGGTATAGGGGGAAGTTGTTCTTGAAAATTATGCTTAGCTTGCCGAATGCCTGCCAACCACATTTAACACACCATTCAATTTCCTTTATTATATCACCTTCCACTGAGATCCATTGGCCAAGGTATATTTAGTGGTCTACTACATCTAGTTCTTCTCCAGGTATAATTTTTTTTCTTTCTTTGGTGAATTTATTAAACATAATCTGGCTCTTTTACAGGTTTATTTTTAAGCCAAATGGTTCGTCTGCTTTCTGCAGGTCTTGCATGTATCTTTGTGGCTCTTCTGAGTCTTGTGAGAAGAGAACACCATCATCTGCAAATCTTAAGTGATTTAAATAGGCACCATTGATTTTTATTCCATCTTTTGCTCAGTCTAGTTTGTGAAATACTTCTTCAAGGCAGGCTGAGAAAAGGATAGGTGATATTGTATCGGCCCTGTTGTACACCTTGTTCTACGTTGAATTCCACTTTAAGATCATTAAGGCAAATTGTTGCCATTGTTTTTTTCATATATTGATTGTAGTAAGTTTATGTAAGCAGTGTCTATGACTTGGTTGAGCAATACCTTAATTATTCTTGCTGGAATACTGAGTCAAACACCTTTTTGTAGTCAATAAAAGCCATAAACTGAGGCATGATGTACTGTTGTGCCTTTCAATGACTTGCTGAACAACCTTGATGTGATCCATTGTGCTGTAACCACTTCTGAACTCTGCCTGCTCCTTTGGCTGTGCATCATTTAATGTTCTCAATATTCTTTTTGCTATTATCTTGGTGAAAAACCTTGTAATTGACTGAAAGGAGGCTTATTGGGCGATAGTTCTTTAAATCATCTTGGGCCCTTTTCCTGTGCATAAGAATCACTTCAGCATTTTTCCATGCATCAGGTATTTTTTTCTTCTCTGAGACATCTCAAGTAAAGTTTTGCTAGTTATCTGGGGTAAACTGTCACCACCAGCTTTCAGCATTTCAACTGTAATACAGTCACTTCCTGAAGCTTTGCCATTTTTCATTGATTTTATGGCACTTGATACTTTCTCCAGTAGGATATCTGATATTTCCTCTTTTGCGGGTGTTGTTACTTTTGAGTGATCTTGATCTCTGTATAGCTCTGAATAGAATTTTCCAATTATTTCTAACATTTCCTGTCTTGTTCTACACACAGAGCCATCTTCATGTTTTAGTGCCAAAACCTTCTTTCTTGTATTTATAAGCTCGCATTTTGCTCTAGTAATCCCTTTGTTTTCTTCAACTGCCTTTTTCACAAGCTTCACATTAAACTGACATGTTTCTTATTTATTACCATTTATTGTCACTTTATTTGTAAGGTAATAACTAAGGTAATCACTGAACAAGGATCTAGTTTTGTTAGATCTACATATAGACCATCTATTACTCCATCTTCTCTGATTTTGGTGCCCTTAATAATGATTTAAAGATTATTTAACTCACATGATTTGATCTTGTTCTGTTACGCTTTCTTTTGCTTTCAGATCAATACCTATGATAATGTGATTTTGGGAAGTATTATTAAGGATCTCAACAAGATGTTGAATTACATTCCTAAAATTTGGTATCTTATGAAGAACTCTGGCTTTATCCAGCTTGGGCTAGAAAGAGAATCATTTTATAAGATTGGAAAGAAAGTTGCTCTCCTGATTTTAAGGAATGGATCTAGGACATATATTTGATAAGTATTCTTTAAAAATTCTATGCATTATAAGAATATGAAGCATTGTGTTGCTATAAGTTTAAATTAATTACTTATAGATATTTATAACTTTTCTTTTTGTTCATTATTGTTATAGTATTCATTTGATAGTTATATATTCAACTTTTTCACTGTATTATCACTATTCATTTTTTTTCTTCTTTATTATTATAAGATAAAAATCAAAAATAACTCACTGAATTAAGGAGAAACTTCCTAACAGTGAGGACAATTAACTATTGGAGCAGCTTGCCTTCAGAAGTTGTGGGTGCTTCCTCACTGGAGATTTTTAAGAAGAGACTGAACAACCATCTATCTGAAATGGTACAGGGTCTCCCTTCCAGCTCTATTCTGATTGATTGATTGAAAATGATGTGTATCAAACCACCAAAAACAGAAATTAATAAGTGTGTTGTGCTTGACCAATTTTCCAACTCCCCCCTTGTAGAGTGGAGAGATAATTTAAACAAGCATTTTCTTCCTGTGCTGCTTTTCTCCACAGCAATGCTTTTACAAAAGATACTAACTGCAAGTTAATAAGCGCAGCTCTGTGACTGTCATTAGTCAGCTTGCAGCTGCTGCTGTAACTGACAAGACTTTAATCACTTTCACACCTTCAGCTTTTGTTTGCCTCCAAGCAGCTGGAGGGTTGGAATGGTGGGGGAACTGGGCTAGGGAAACAGCTGCTGCTCACACACTCCTTTCAATGTGTATTCTCCATTGTGTGCCTGTTTACATTCTTGTAATCACTTCCTCTAGGAAGAATGTAAACGTAAAGGTATTGATTTAACAGCTAACCAGCTTATGTAATGTAAGATGTAAGATGTAATAATGGGAATGACTCAGCAGGGTCTGTGTCTCTTTAAGAGTCTTTGTATAAAGGGAAGGCTCTGTTGATGTCTTCTTTCTTCCTCCGTTTCCTACTGTAACTGTGGTTTGTTGGATTCTGCTATATTAGTTTGTGTATGTATATTGTTCCTAGTGTATGATATTGTAGATAGTGTAAGATAAACCACCATTTACTATAGACCACCATTTACTGTGTTTACTCCTTGGTTATCTTGCGCAATAAGGCTGTGCACGCTCTAACAGTAAATACAAATATTAATTCCCTTTTTGCTAGTTATCTCTGTACTAGGGCGAGCATTCCAGAGAAGTGGTGAAAAAGGGAAGCTGAAGTAAAATCATAAGCAAGTTGTGGTAACATGATTTTCCAATTAGTGACTATATCATTAAGCGAATGAATTGCTGGTCTCAATTGTAGTTGCTAAACAAGGACTACCTATGTTAATTATTCACTTTTGGTTTTGCGTTGACATCTTTTTCATTCGTGTTCATAAACAATTACTTATTAATATATCATTAATACTTATTAATATATCATTATACTTATTAATAGATCATATATTGTACATTTGATCTATTTTGATTTGGAAAGATATTTTTCTGTACCCCAGTTTGGCTGGCATATTATAAGACATTTTTGCCTTCCATAGCTTGAGAAAATATAAGTTCAGCACATCTTTTATCTGCTCCTACATTTTGTTTACAACATTATACAGGTAGTCCTCGACTTAAAACAGTTCATTTAGTGACCATTCAAAGTTACAACAGCACTGAAAAAAGTGACTTATGACCATTTTTCACATTTACGACTGTTGCAGCATCTCCATTAACACGTGATCAAAATTCAGATGCTTGGCAACTGATTCATATTTATGATGGTTACAGTGTCCTGAGGTCATGTGATCACCTTTTGTGACCTTCTGATAAGCAAAGTCAACAGGGAAGCCAGATTCACTTAACAGTGTGTTATTAACTTAACAACTATAGTGATTCACTTAACTACTGTGGCATGAAGCATCATAAAATGGAACACTTAACAAATGTCTCACTTTTTGGCTCAATTGTGGTCATAAATCGAGGACTACCTGTAATCTGGAAATAATCTACTCTAATAACAGTGTGCTATACAATGTTCACCCTTAAGTAAAAAGTTGAGACTCATTGACCTATCTTAGCTATAATTATAAAATAAGGCACAATGAAAAGTTACAATGGATTATTTATTTTTAATACTTTACTGTATTACTAATCATTTAAATAATAGTTACCTTTTCAGTATAAAAAAATCACCACAGGGTCATGTACTTATGGAAGAATCCTGTTTTGTTTTCTTAAACCATTCGGGGAATTAAGCATAATGGGCTACTCCTGGACCTATTCAGGTTGGACCATTTCTGGATTCTCAAGAACTAGACTTTGAAAGTGGTCTCTAAGTACCATACTTATTATCATCATCTTCGATCACACTATATAACTATTATACCCCTGTGAACTGCATGCTTTTGCTTACATACCACATATAACTGCTTCCAGAGCATAGCCCATTCCTGGAGAGTTGCTGTAACTTCAGTAATAACAGAATCTTCAAGTGGAACAACTGTTTCATACTGCCTGTAAAATGTATAAACACCAGTGAAAATGTCATAAAAAGAAGGGCTGCGGAATCATTTATTTCCATCTTCCCTTGAAACTATGTATTCATTTATATATAATAAACATCCCGCAATACACAACACTTACTTCATATAGTGGAGTGTTCAATCTCAAATAATCTTCTGCCTTATATGTATCGTTTCATTATACAAAATTTTATTTTATGACAATTTTAGTTCTATCTTTTTACTGGAATTGTGTAATGGGATGCAAGAATAACCTTGAGAAAAAGAAGAAGAGCAACAACCAAGGAAACAATGAGCTAAATGAAATCTGAGTCCAAAACAGAAATGTAACTTGAGAAAATGTTTCAGACTTGACTCTTTCTAGTTATCTTGCAGATAAAGGGGGAGGGGGAGACATTTTCAGACTTCCAGAAGTCTGCCAATCCTATGGGGGGAGGTGGTTTCTCACATAAGCTGGATCCATGCCATGAAGGACTTTAAAGATGATAACTAACATCTTGAATTGGATCCGGAAGCAAAGTGGCAACCAGTGCAGCTTTCCGAACAGCAGTGTGGCATGGACCATCCTGGGCCCCAAGACCTATCTGCGCAGCTGTGTTCTGGCTAGTTGTAGCTTCCAAATATTTTTCAAGGGTAGCCCCATGTAGAGCGTCTTGCAACAGTCCAAATATCAGATTTACAGGACTGTGTAAATCTCAATAAATCTCAATAGAAGTAATTTCAGTAGTCTTTTCAAATTGATTTTCTGGTCTGCTCTACCCAGTGGGACTGACAAACATTAATTGATACTCTGGTTAATCTATATATATTATTAAAATTCTTATTCCTATAGCCTTTAAATGGGTGAAACAGTGCAAACTATGCCAAAACCTTTTGAACCAAAATATCTCAAATGGGCTAATTATACAATGAATCCAAAATCCAGGAGCCATGACTCTCACAGAATTGAAATTTGATAAATTTTATAAAACGTCTAATGACATTAAAATTATCATAAAGCAATTTGTGATGCCATATAAAATGTCATAAAACACATCCTGTGCTGATATTTGACTGGACTGGCATGGGCTATTTTCAAGGCAGATAATCTCTGAATGTATTTCTAACTTTTACAGCGAACGCAATACATTAGAAGCAATGTCACTGAGGAATCCAATAAGGAAATATCTCTAAAACATGGGTTATCTATTTTAGTCTCATAGGTATATCACATAGCTGCAAAGAAAAACAGCATGCCTGTCAAATTTCCTGACAAGGTATTATTCTTATGACAAAGGACTAATCAGTGATCCTTAAGAAAACATTTTTTTAACTATGCTCATTATGTTTAGCAAAAAAAATTAGAGAAGAAATTGGATGTAATTTTTTCTTGGAATTATTTGCTAGAACATATATAGTTTTGTAGAATATCAGCATTTCAGCTTTAAACAACTGTATTAAATATTACATGCAAAAGTAGTTTAAATTAAGAATATATTAAATAATGTTAATGGATTCCTATCTATTTGTCAGATATATTAATTTCTTGATAATGTAAGTCCATACTCACCCTCTGTTACTGACAAGTGCCTTTTTCAAATGAATGTAATTTGCAGGAAAGATTCCCTGCAAGAAAAAAATGGATTATATTTATTTTAACAAGAAGAATTAAATGAAAGCTTCAATTGATGGGTAGCAGAATTCAGTATTTAACAGCCCATTTGGTGAAACTAGTTTTAGAATCCCTTTTCTTCTTTTTTGTTACTCTATGGTATCTATGTTTTGGGGTCTCATTACTTCTTTCTGTTTTCCTGTATTTTGCATTACCCCCAAATGAAATGTGATACATTTGTAAGGTTTTTATAAATGCAGTTTAACAACTCTACTTAAGTATAGTTTGGTAACTGCTGATAGATTAGAAAATCTGATTGATTGAAATTGATTTATTCTCAATTACATACAAGTCTTAACAATTTTTCTGAATCCTGAACGTGTATCATTGCAGGTAATCCTTGACTTACAACCACAATTGGGACCAGAATTTCAGCCATTAAGCGATACAGTTGTAAATAAATCATCATGTGACAAGACCTAATTTTAAAACCATTTTTACCCTGATCATTAGGTGAATGAAGTGGCTGTTAAATGAATCTAGCTTGTCAGAAGCTGGGACCTCGGAAAGTTGCAAATTGCGACCAAAGACACGGCAACCATTGTAAATGCAAAACAATTGCCAAGCACCCATATTGTGATCATGTGAGGTAGTGCAATAGTCGTAACTTCTAGGTTGGGTTTTAAGTCAATTTTTCTAAGGCCATTGTAATTTTTGAACTGTTGTTAAACAGTCATAGGTCAAGGATTATCTGTATGGTATACATATTTTTCATATTTTGGCTTGCAAAATAATTACTAAAGTAAAGAGCATTGGGTAAAACCAGCATTTGGTTGTCCTTTGTCATGCTAGTAAAAACATAACCAAAACTGACTGCTAATATATTTACCATTAGCAATGAATGTTGAATGTGCCACACATTAGGACCAAGGCTCGTGGTCGACTCTATTGACTACCGTATTTCAATTTTCATGATTGACTGCCCTTTTATAAGAGATTATTATTATAACTCTACAGAGAGCTTACCAGAACACTATATTCTGCTGGACTTATCGACAATACGGAAGACTGTTTCATTAGTTCAGGTCAACATTTATCAGTGGCTTTGTAAGTTTATTTGAAAGTATGCATCAAACTCAATACTGTTTTTGTTAAAAGCAGCATCTAAACATACCTTTATGCTAGGTCTCTTTATTGAAATTCCTCTGTACCAGCCTAAAATAAAATAAATTCAATTATATTAAAATATATTATTAAAAGATTTAACATTTACAAATTCTGTTATTTTTATTAATTGTAAGCGGTTCATATGATATTCCAGCAATATCTTTAATTAGAGCTCTGACTTTTAGTTTTTATGTTGATAAGTGATCATCTAATAATTCTGCTTTCAGAATAATCAAATGGAAATTTAAAATATCAATTTACTACATGATGTTGTTGTCTGAGTTTCTTTTTTTAATGAAATAGGAACATTAATAGAAATGTCTCCCACCTATATTTTATAGAATCACAGATTTGGGGGCAGTTTCTGCTTTCTGAAGTATCTCTTAAAGCATCCAAGCACCTATAACAGAAAATATCCAGCCTCGATATGAAAATCTCCAACAATAAAAATATATGACAGCCAGATCCACTGGCTGACAATTTGTATTCTCAGAAAGTTTGTTCTGACATTTAGCCCAAACATACTTCCTTATAGTTTTAGCTCAGTGTTTTTGATTCTACCCTCTGCATTCTCTTTCCTGTACGACAATCCTGTACGTCAGTTTGAAGACTGTTATCATATTCCCCAAAGCTATCTCTTTTGCAAACGTAACATATTCCTTTGTGTTTCTGATAGGATTTAGTTTCCAGAACTCTCATCTTTTTGATAGTCTTCCCTTGAATTGCTCCAGTTTGTCACTTTCCATTGATATATGAGACCCAGAAGAGAACAAAGCATTCAAACTGGGGTTTGATCAGGAGAGAATAGATTAAAACAATTTCCTTCCACAATCTGGGCTTTATACTATTGTTAGTCATTTTATTTTTTGTTTTTCTTATCAAATTCAAATAAGAAATTTTCCCTATTAAATTCATCATATTCATTTTGGGCCATTGCTCAAGCCTGTCTAGATGTTTTTAATTTTCCATTTCAATTTTAAACTATTTGTTATCCTTCTAAGCTCTGTATCATTTGTAAACTTGGTAAATGTTCCCCAACTCCAAGTCATTGATAAAAATATTTTATTTGAAGATAGCTATCAAGAAATCGTTGGAGTGGCAAATTTAAATCAAGTCTCCTGCTTCATTTCGGTTTCTTGAACCATACAATCCAACTATGTTTTCTTCTTTTAATTTTCCAACTTTGGCATTTTAGTCCCCAATCACCAGCATTGTATACTTACACTTTATGTTAATTTCTAATTAAACCTGATTATAAATAATGATGATAAAATTCAAGTTTGTGCTCCAACTACTGATGCAAAAGGGGGTTAAGTGTCCCTTTTGCATCAGTAGTTGGAGCACAAACCTGAATGACTGTCATATTAAATAATTGTCCATGAAGTCTAATCAATATTATTCATTCACTGATTGCATTGTAGCCAAGCATTATAATGTTTCTAACTGTAAAAGCAACACTTTTTCTGTCCTGAGTAATAAACAGTATGATCTTCTGAATAAATATGTTCAATCCCAATCCATCTCAATTCACTGATGCCTAAGATGTCAATTTACAGCCATTTCATTTCATCTTTCACTATGTTTCAGAGTGTCATACTTCTTACATTCCATGTTCCTACTGTAATTCTATCTTTTCAACTTTGGTTTTCTTTCCTATATGGCAATATCAGCAATTAGACATCCCAAAGATTTCCATCTAGCCACAGCATAAACACCATTAATACCAAATCCTAATCTAGTTTGAAATTCATACTCTGAATTCATAGCTACAATTTTCTCTCAAGTACATTTCAAACTAATCTATGTAGTTGCTAGGAGTCAAAGTGGCACATAATCACTTCGTAGGATAAAAGCACAAGTGCTCAATTACTACATGGAATATTAAAGCTACTTACCTACTTGGAAAGAAAATAGTAGACTTCGAAATACTTGATAAAAGGCCACTATTTTAATGTTCTTAGTTGTCATATACAATATAGATATTTAACCCTTTATTTATAATCTAACATACAATTATAACCCTTTCATTATACAGGTAAACCTCAAAGTATGACAGGCCATTTCATGAACTTTTGAAATTATGACAGACCTCTCAAAAGCTACATATAACGTTTGAAAGTTATGACAGCTGCAACAGGCTTGCAGTTGTTCACTGTTATGACCCACCACAGGGTCGCTGCAGTTCCCTCCTGCCACTCTCCCCGTCCCACTCTGCCAGAACCCTGCAGCGTTTGGGCCTCTTCCTCACACACCCATCACATCCCACTTTCCTTCTGAAACTCGCCAGACCTCATATGGAAGGAGGGCAGACCATGTGTTCCCAGCAATGTGACCTCCATTTTGTCCCACATATTTGTGAATATAACAAAATGGCAGCCAATAGACAAATTGCTTCATTTTGCTTCCTTTGATTGGAAAGTCTCCACAGTGAAGCAGAAGTTTCTGAATGCTGCATAAAACTTCCTCCTTGAGATAGCAAGAGGCTAATTATCATATCTGAATACAGAAAGTCTTGGGACCTTTGTAAGGCATCAGAATGAAGCAGTTTACTCCAGGGCTGTGCAGCAGCAACCTAAATGCGGCCACCGATTTGTCCCGACCATTTGTGGATGGGGACAAAATGCCGGCCACCAGACAAACTGCTTCATTTTGCTGCATCACAGTGGTCTGTCCAGTGCTGTAGAAGATTCTCAATGCTGCAGGCCTTGTTAAGGCAGCAAAATGAAGCAGTTTATCCTTGGGCCACATGGCAGCGACCCAAATGCAACCACCACTTTGTGGCAGGATAAAATGGTGGTCACTTTCAAAACCATGTTGCGTGGCTGTGCAAAAATAAAATTAATTCCAGAGCTCTGGAAGACCTTTAAAAGGTAAAGGAGGAGAAGGGTGTTTGGCCTGGTGGGTGGGAATCAGGCCTAAGGCCTGGGAGGAGCCAATAAGAGTAGGAAAAAACTTGTTGGAATCTACGGTGTTGGAAGTGGAGCATGGGACATCTTGGGGAAGGGGACAACCTTGGGAGATGAGGGCAGGTGGGCCTGTCCCTGTACTAGGTCTCCAACGGCCTCCCCCACCCAGGAAGCACTCCACATTCCACTTGCAATTCATTGGGGAGAGCAGGGATAGGGGGTTCATTACGTTTCACCTAATGACTGCCACGTCACATGAGCATAATGGGCAGGCTTAATAGCAGTCGTATCTTTTTTAAAAAAAAAATATTGCAATAGTTTCAAGAAAGTTTTGAAATTAGTCACTGGTATTAAATAATATGGACTATGTAATAGAATGCAACTCATTAAGAAATCTAAATATATTCCTGGTTATCATGATAAAACCATCACAAGCCACCCTTATCCTCCCAAAAATGAAGTCCCACTATTTCTAGACAGATGGTTAATAAATATGCTGACCCCTTTCTGACAGGATTACTAATAATGCTTCAATCTTTCTTATAGAAAGTGGGTCAGATTAGATTTACTAAGCATTTGAATAATCATGGTTCTCAAATGATTTATTGAAACATAGGTTTGCAAAATATAAAATGCACTCTTTTTGGGGAACACATAGACAGCTCTAACATGATTGACTTCCCAAAGCCTAATAAAAAACAATGAACCTCAGTGATCACAGAAATTCATTTCTCCTATCTTATTCATCTCCTCTTTACAAGACAAAAGATGGTAAAGGAATAGAAAAAAGGGAAGGGGATATAAAATTTACATTCTACACTGTATTTAGTGTAGCATTGGCTACAAAAGTACACCCACAAGATACCATTATGATCACAGATTATTATTACTACTTGAATAAAGAGAAAAAGCAAAGTAAGTAGTTGGGGCAGTTCATAAACGCCAGAAGAAATATTTTCAATATATCATACCTTCACATTTTTCCAAGATCTGAACAGTTTCTCCTAGTTCTAGAACTAAGCCTTTCTGCACATGTCCTTGGAAGCTGCATATAACTAGGGACACACAATATGTTAAAAGATTAGATGTTGAACAGTACATTGATATTTGATTTCATAAAACAGAAACAACATTCATATCAACATGCTTTTTATAATATTTAGTTTACTCAAAAACAGTTAAAATACAAAATGCCAAAATATTTAAGGAAAAAGAAAAAGAAAAAACACATTAAAGAAGTGTCTTAAAAAAAGATTAACATATATAAACGTAACATCCTCCCTAATTGAATGCTGATTAATATAATACAATCATGTTAATCTCCCACCCGTTTTAAAACAGGCCAAAAGAATTTTATACCAATAACAAAATAGTTAACAGGAATTAAAATGCTTTTTTAATAAGACATTAGTTTTATATATATATATATGTTCCTCTTTAAAAAAAATTCATTCATTAACAAATAATCAGTAACGTTATTAGTTTAAAACAACCAACACTCAAACAATCAGTAACCTAATTTAACATTATAAACTAATTTAAAGAAAGCAAATAAGAATGTAAGAATAATTAAACTAGTAGGAAGCAATTTTTGCACTTGGAATCAAATTAGAATTAGTCTGAAAAAGTAAACAAATACGCTTGCATTATATGTGAACAATATTCAGAGAAAATGAATGTTAATCTATTCTAGAATTCAATGCATTTGTATATTCATATTCTGACATTTTTAACTACTTCATTTTTAACATAATTTTAGTAATAAAAAAAATAGACAGCTATATTTTCTGCTTTATTACCATTAAATTTCACATTATATTACATTTTAACCCAGTGAATTTTGTTAAACTATAGTTCATAATAATAATAGTTTATTAAATTTATGTGCTTTTAAACTACGTGATGTTTTGGATATTAGTTTATATTTTTATCCTCTGCTCTTATTTTGAAAATCTGTTAGGAATTTGTGATTTTGTATTTATCTGTCATACATTTATAACATAGTTTCCAGACAACAGGAAAAAGCTTCAAAAAAAGAATTTGGCAGATACTTATATCCAGCAAGCCCTCAATTACTTGTCCTGTAGCATAGCTCCTTTATTTACAAGTAGTGTGTTTCATGAAACTGGGATAAATTTGATTAGTTTAAACTTTAGTTAGTTCAAGCATGGCAAGATCAAATTGTATTTATATTACTAGATGACAATAGAAAAATTCTATTATGATCTATACCTTATAGTTATGTTGTAAGAAGATGTAAATACATAAACCAAAAATCACCTCAATGATAGTTAAAATTATTTATTACAACAGACACGTACATCTAGATCCCAGATCCCAATATCCTCTCAACTCCAAATCTCCTTTCTGAACAAATCCATTTCCACAACCTTTCTAAAATTTAGGAGCACAGATGCTGTCCAGATGTCTAACAGCTATTCCTAACAGTGGCTGCTGCCTCTAAGAAGCACATTTCTGATTTTCTGCCAAGTCTCCTCAATATTCCAATCCTTAGTTTCCACTTCATTTTACATGGAAGAAGTTGGTCTAAACAGCTCCAATCCAGATAATAACATTATCATATGCAGATCTACTTGAACATAATCTTAAAAAAATCAGGTACTCCTCAATTTACAACCATTCGTTTAGCAACCACTTGAAGTTACAACAGCACTGAAAAAAGTGACATGACTGTTTTTCACACTTATGATTGATGCAGCATCCCCCATGGTCAAGTGATCAAAATTCAGACACTTGGCAACTGACTCATATTTATGACGGTTGCAGTGTCACAGAGTCATGTGATCCCTTTTGTGACCTTCTGACAAGCAAAGTCAATGGGGAAGCTAGATTCACTTAATAACCATGTTACTAACTTAACAACTGTAGTGATTCACTTAACCTGTGGCAAGAAAGTTCGTAAAATGGGGCAAAATTCACTTAGCAGCTATCTTGCTTAGCAACAGAAATTTTGAGCTGATTAGGGAATTCAAGAGATATACTAGTACAAATTGATGGTATTGATACATTTGATACATTTTCCCTGCATATTAGCACATCGTTATTTGAAAGACTACTTAATGTTGTATGAGCTTGTATGCTTGTTTCAATTATTTGACCTGGGTCATTTTCATTCTATCATGTTATTAGAATAACTATTTTATAGTTAAAAGCTTTTTCTCACCTGACTTCAGTTCTGTGGAATAAATCTGTCTGTCTGTGTCTGTCTGTCTGTCTGTTATATAATAATAATAATAATAATAATAATAATAATAATAATAATAATAATAATAATAATAATAATAATAATAATAATAATAATAATAATAATAATAATAATAATTTAAAAAAAGTTGGAAGGGACCTTGGAGGTCATTTAGTCCAACCCACTGCTCAGGCAGAAAACCCTATACCATTTCAGACAAATGGCTGTCCAGTCTCTTCTTAAAAACTTCCAGTGTTGGAGCATTCACCACTTCTGGAGGCAAGTTGTTCCACTGGTTAATAGTTGTAACTGTCAGGAAGTTTCTCCTTAGTTCTAGGTTGCTTCTCTCCTTGATTAGTTTCCATCCGTTGCTCCTTGTCCTGCCTTCAGGTGCCTTGGAGAATAGCTTGACTCCCTCTTCTTTGTGGCAGCCCCTAAGATATTGGAATACTGCTATCATGTCCCCCCTCGTCCTTCTCTTCATTAAACTAGACATACCCAATTCCAGCAGCCGTTCCTTATATGCTTTAGCCTCCAGTCCCCTAATCATCTTTGTTGCTCTTCTCTGTACTCTTTCTAGAGTCTCAACATCTTTTTTACATCATGGTGACCAAAACTGGATGCAGTATTCTAAGTGTGGCTTTACCAAGGCATTGTAAAGTGGTATTAATACTTCACGTGATCTTGATTTTATCCCTCTGTTAATGCAGCCCAGCACTGTGTTGGCCTTTTTGGCAGCTGCAGCACATTGCTGGCTCATATTTAAGTGATTGTCCACTAGGACTCCGAGGTTCCTCTTACAGTTACTACTAATTGAGCAAGGTACGCCCTATACTATACTTGTACCTGTACTAAAGCTTTCAAGCAAAGATTTATTGATGTGACTGCCCAAGATGATATTGTGGTACTTAAATGTGTCAAGTCTCTGAAGGCTCAAACAAATCAGTCTTCCAGTTAGAAAAATATTTAACAACTTACATACATCATCATTTCAGAAGAGCTTTTTTTAGACCTTGATTTGAACAACTGGACTCAGTGGTAAAAGGGAGGTTTCATGGAGACCCAACTAGAGTTCTAAGATTGTGCGTTTGGGGAACAGCAGCCTTTGAAGACACTGGACACATTCTTGTTTACTGGAAATTGTACTCTCCAGAAAGGGCCACTTATATAGACACTTATTTAAAAACTAAAAAATATTGGGGCACCCAATATTTATTGCAAGGAACAAACCTAAATATCATCAATAAGACTGAACTCTTAATTTCAAAGGCCATCCCAAAGAGGACAGAAAGAGGACAATCTTGATCAGATTGGAGATAAGTGTAGGGGTGACAATCTGTTATGAAGTTTTGTTTTGTTTTTATCCAATTGCATTTTTGTATCAATTTTATATATGTGATACAGTCAGTTGATTTAATTAATAAAGTTTTCTTCTTCTATTTTGCCATATAGTTTTATCTTACTTTCTTACCCACTGTATTTTATTCTATTTTATAACACAATAGCTATTTTATCTCATTTTACTGTATGTTATCTCATGTTATTGTATTGTACTTATTGATGCTTATGTTTAATATGGTCAATTGAATAATCAATAAAGTATATTGTATCGTAACTATAGTGGCAATCACATGACAGAGGGACGCTGTAAAGGTCGGAAGTAGAGACTCTAGAAAGAGTACAGAGCAACAAAGATGATTAGGGGACTGGAGGCTAAAGCATATAAGGAACGGCTGCTAGAATTGGGTATGTCTAGTTTAATGAAGAGAAGGACAAGGGGGGACATGATAGCAGTGTTCCAATATCTCAGGGGCTGCCACAAAGAAGAGGGAGTCAAGCTATTTTTCAAAGCGCCTGAAGGCAGGACAACGGATGGAAACTAACCAAAGAAAGAAGCAACCTAGAACTAAGGAGAAACTTCCTGACAGTTAGAACAATTAACCAGTGGAACAACCTGCCTCCAGAAGCGGTGAATGCTCCAACATTGGAAGTTTTTAAGAAGAGACTGGACAGCCATTTGTTCAAAATGGTATAGGGTTTCCTGCCTGAGCAGGGGGTTGGTCTAGATGACCTCCAAGGTCCCTTCCAACTTTATTGTTGTTGTTGTTGTTGTTGTTGTTGTTATTATTATTATTATTATTATTATTATTATTATTATTATTATTATTATTATGGATCATCGCACAGTCAGCCAAATGTTCAGACTGGATTTGGCATTTTGTCTACCTATCGAATCCTTACCAAGGACCTGGGATAGGCAGATGTGGATGTTTGATGTTATTACAGATATCCTCGCAGGATGGAGGCAGTTCCTAGTAAGGCCGCCTTTTTTATTATTATTATTATTATCACCATCATCATCACCATCATCATCATCATAATCATCATCATCATCATCATTATATGTAAAGGCATAAGTTATAGTTATTTTTGCAACACCACTGGAACTCTCAACTATCATTGAAGAAGGCAGTTGGCAAGCAAAGTTTACCTCTAAATAAATCAAGAATTTGTGCACGGTTTTTAAAAATCTTTTGAATTATTGCCCCCTCACCTCATATGGTGGTTCAATCTTAAATAAATATTCTCTCAATCAGCTCACAGGATGGCATAATTATTATTTATATCCCCAGATATAATTACAGGCATTGATAAAATTGTTAACCAAAATAGATAATTTAACTATATCCTCCCAGTTATGTTTCATAGCATACAATACTATGAAATATCACGTCTCCAATGGCTTATCTTTAGAAGAGCTGAAAAAAATATATTCCTTATGTTTGACAACTTTCTATTACATTCATTTTAAATTCTTTAATTGCATAATGCAACCTAATTGCTAACTGT